ATCACCTGTGTTTATGGATTATTACAGTTCTTCAGTTCAAGGCAATGGTATCAAATTCCATAAAACTTGCCCAAACCTCCTCCTGAAGGCAAGGTGTAGCCTCACTCTGGAGAGCATGCCAAGTCATCAGAAGTCATTTCTTACCTTGCGTGTGCGCTGAGGAAGGATAATCCCATCGTCCCAGAGTCTCCCACTAGAGTACAAGGCAGCTACCTGCTGCTGGTACCTCCTGCCCATCTCATCAGCCGCCTCCCTGTCTCCTGTTATCTGAGTCCCATAAAGAGAAAGACAATGCCACAATAGTCACAGACTTCGGACGAGACACCTGTTGACTGAAATCCTAGAGCAGGAATGGTACGTCCAGCAGACTCTAGGCCTGGGACATGGGACATCATGTTCCTTATGGATGCCTGGTTGCGTGAACCACCACTCAGAAACCAGGCTGACCAATTATAAGCTATTTATCTGGACACATGAACAATGCAAGTTCTGCAACTCCCATTGGCCAGAACTACCAAAGTTTTCTACAGACAAATGTTGAACTTTGGATCACTTTGATGAGTATAAATTAACAGTGGGGGAAGAAATCACCAAACATCAAAGTTACCAAGAGGTACTTCAGCCTTGCTTGGGAATGGCAGGTCCAGAAATTAGCCGTGCCAAGACAAAGTTGAGTATGAAGTACAGAATCTTTGATACACACACCCTACAAACTCAAGCCCTTCTGGAAATGATCTGCGACTTGAGACACCCCTACTGATGCAACCTACCTGCGATGCGGCATGGACTGCGCCCTCCGGTGATGTGATGCCAATCCGAGCTGATGGCCACATGAAGAGAAAGCGAGGGCTGAATGATCGACCGCACTATGATTAAAACAAAAACACCAACCACAAACACGAATCAGATTGGACAGGTTTCTCTCTGCGGACTGAATGTCGATATCAGCATTTTTCTTTCATTCCTCTAAGAAGGATATACTTTGACTCTAGCTAAACACAAAATGATTTTTTTAAAGAAAATAACGGAGAAAACTATGACTAGAAGTTCATTTCAAATATTGAAAGGAAGTAACTTCTAAAAATACAAGGAAAATACAACTAACATCAAAGCAGAATACAGTAAATTACCAAGGACACTCTGCCAAAAGGCAATTGGAACTTTGAAACCTAAAGAGCAGTATTAAAATTAGGATTCACTTTTTTCAATGACAAAATGTATTACTGGAATTTAATATTGCTCTTTGTGGTGCGATGGAAAACCTCACTCACCATGGCAAAATTACTAGGCCCAAAACTGTCCCCGACAATCACCGAGATCTTCGGGACTTGGGCACAGGCCACGGCAGTCATCATCTTGGCTCTGTTCCTGATGACATCACCCATGGCTTCCCCGTCTTCCCCCTCTGGCATGCTAGAATCAGGGGGTGTGTTTGAGAGGAAGATCAGGGGAATCCGTCGTTGGCAACACAGCTCCACGAAGTGCGCCCCTTTGGTGGCAGCATCAGCAGTCAGTGGACCGTCATTGCCGACGATGCCTACTAAATGACTGTTAGAAGGCACAGTGGGTAATCAGCATTCAAATGGGAGGTAGTGATATAAGAATATATGATAGGATCAGTCAAAACTGGTCAACAGTCTAAAAGTTACAGGGCACTTCCTACATTTTGATAAAAGTATCTTTTCAGTGAATTCTATAATAACACAGTTTTTATATAGCGCATCACACCAAAGTTTCGATGCGCTTCACAAGAAACAACAATTAAATGGAACAGGTAAGTTCTAAGGACTGCTTTTAATCCATTTTCTTTCTTGACAGTTTTGATATTGTGTAGAGGAGAAGTTCCAAAGCGATGGTGATACATGCATGAAGGAACGATGTCCATCAGTCAGTGCGAGTGACCGGTATATTGAGCAGCAATGTTGAGCTAGAACTCTGTAGTGATGATGAATATGCATTGAGATGAATTATTCATATTAAAGCTGATCAAAGCCTCTTGACTTTTATTTTCAACAGCAAGGGTGCTACTGTCCAGCAATTAGACATAACAGTGCTACATGTATGTGACTTGGACACAATGTCAACAACCAATGAATGCATTCCCGTCTTGATGATCTAGGATGCCAAATCGAGTTGATTTCAAAACAGGGAGTTTATCTAATGTCAACTGTCTCTCCTACATTTTCTTTGGTTTTAAGCACAGCGCCTCACCAACTCATTCAAGACAATTCTGTTAAATGTTGCCCCTTTTTTCGTCACAAAAACATTAGGTTATTGAAAAAAGCCAGGTACACTTTAACCACTTCCACCAGATAACAAGGTTATCAAACTGTAAGTAATTCTCAAGTGCCAAGTGTTCTGCCAAGTATTGAACTGATTTGATTATAAAGTTGAACATGGGCACTGGATGGTGCGCAAAGGTAAGATTACAAAATAAAATGATGACTTCATTAATTTTCATGACAAAAGCACTCAAATTGGCAGAGTACTTTTCCGATACTTTTCTTCTTAGAAAGTGTCTGAAGTCTTAGATTTTGCAATCTTCCCTTTGTGCATGTGTACCCCTGCATGTACCCCTGCATGTACCCCTGCATGCACCCCTGCATGCACCCCTGCATGTACCCCTGCATGTACCCCTGCATGTACCCCTGCATGCACCCCTGCATGTACCCCTGCATGTACCCCTGCATGTACCCCTGCATGTACCCCTGCATGCACCCCTGCATGTACCCCTGCATGTCCCCCTGCATGTACCCCTGCATGTACCGTGTAATACCTACCCCTCAATATGAGCCATTCCTGTGATCAAGCTAGGACCATACACGGTCTTGAATTCATGGAATCGACTTCCATCAGTTAGTCGAGCAATGACCTGGGGAAAAAAAAGGATCAACGCAGTGACCCAAAACACTACATGTATGCACAAAATGTCACGGCTGTTGACAAAATGGCACAGTTTATACCGAAATGACGGCAACAAAATCATTCATTGTTGGTGGATGTTTCCGTTTTCGTAAAATAGCAGGAAAGGCAATTTGCCAGGTGTAGGGACTGAATTCAAACCCCTCAGGACAGGTATTCAGTCAAGTTCTCCCTCCACTATGTCATAATCAAACGGCAGTTCACTGCCTAGTCCGAGTTTACGACAAATTGTCACCAGCTGGATTCGAACCCCAACCCTCGCGTCACAAGTTACAACTCTGTCATAATTACTGTGACCCTGTCAACGCTGAAGCACATATAACTAACAAAAGAACAAAAAACCGAGGCGTGGAACCTTCAAGGGCAACGGATCATTTGATGTCGTTACCTTCTTCATACTTCCAGGGGTGTCTAGAGCCATGCCAGGCAAGTCATCTACACTGTACAAAGGTTCCTGCCAACCATCATACTGCATAGGTCTCTGCTCGTTCAGGCCAGCGATGATGTCTCTCCCAGTCTCAAATGCATCCTCTTCACAGGCAGCAAAATGATCAGTAACACCGCTCACTCTGCGAGGAGGGGGGGGGAATTACGAATGAAATCATGAGGCAATTTTCAAGCATGATATCTGTACTACCAATTTCAGTTTCAGTAAGAAGTCCCCGTTTGCTTGGCATCCCCTCTGGGACCTCTAAATTTGGGCCATGACATAGCAACAGGTTTTACCTAACAACAGCTATTAGAACTGCAGCTTCCTCCTTTTGGAAGGGGATCTATGACCGTCTCACAGCATGACATTTACTCAGTGTGAATTGGTGGAGGCAAGAACCAAAGTCTAAGATGTCATAGACCGATAAGTTTAACAGTTCAAGGAAGTACATGTAGTTATTATATTGCATACAGCCAGGATAGCTCATGAAAGTCATTCAACTGATTTCCAGGGGGGGTCTCTTGGAGGGGGAACCCTGTAAGGAAGAGATGACAAAGAAGTGTCCGGTTTTAGATATGGAACGGAAATCCAGACAGATCTCCCAAGGAAACCCATGGAATCACGTAGGGACTGAAAGCCCAATCCACACACAGGCCTGGTCTGAATGAAAAGCCTGGTTGTAGAGATGAACAGCTGGGAAAATACTCCTACAGGTGCACACAACTGCCCCTCTTTATAAATCTGCCTGGAAATCTTTTCTGTGATGTACTAGAGCCTTTCCTCCAATTTCCTGTTTAAAACTGATGGTGTCAACGTGTTGCTGAGAGATTTTAAGCTTTCCAGTGAGTACAATAGGCAGCACTGTTTGGATTGGCGTTTACAGAATCTGTAATAAGACCAGCCTGTACATGTCTTGGAATGAAACAGTTCAGTCATCATCTTACTTGCAATGGAGCGTGGCACCTCCAAGGTTCTCCGCGCTGACCTTCTCTCCCGTTGCAGCAAAGACTAGTGGAGGGCCTCCCAGGAAGATGGTGCCGATCTTGTCAACCATGACGGCCTCGTCACACATGGCTGGCACGTAGGCACCCCCGGCTGTGCAGGACCCACACACAATGGCTACCTGAAGAGAAAAGGTAACAATACAACAGGGTCTAAGTCAGGGTTCGAATCCAACTCAGAGCGAACATACTCAAAGCTGCTATTCCCCTTGACCCTCACCCCCTAGGGTGCACTGAAAATCATATTGAAATCGGAGGATTTGCCACTGTTGGGGTTAATACGCAATGCTTACCTGAGGTATCTTGAGGGCAGACATGAGGGCCTCATTAGCAAACGTCTTACCTCCGTGCTCCTTGTCCGGAAAAATCTCTGACTGGAAGTTAAGATTGAAAAGGAAATGTACATGTATATAAAGCAGATCAAGCCCTTGTCAAGTTGCAGAGGAAACCAGACCGACAGACCGACAGACCGACCGACCCGGGACCAGGACCAGGACCGGGACCAGGACCAGACCAGACCAGACCAGACCAAGACAGACAGACAGACAGACCGACCGACCGACCGACAGACAGACAGACAGACAGACAGACAGACAGACAGACAGACAGACAGACAGACAGACAGACAGACAGA